AGAGAGAATGCAGCTTTAACACATGAAGCTTTGGCTTCACTTTACAGAACTGGAGGTTGCCATCGTTATCTCTACCGCACTGCATCCTGGGATAATATTAGTGTTGTGTGCTCTAATATTTCATCTGAAATATTGTGTATTTGCGTAGACTGTTAGTGTGGAATTTAAGACAAAACATAAAAGTAGATTTTCTTCTACACAACAACCGCCCTGGAGAGAAAGATGTGGATCACACTCATGTATAATGGGAAGGTCAGAGTATTAGTTAGTATTTGTGGTAAACGTGGTATTAGGAGAATGTAAAGCTTCATGATTTATGAAATGAAACCAGAGTCTCGCTCACCTCACTCTGCAGCTCAGAGACGCTTTTAGCAAACTGAGTTTCAGCCGTTTGTGGAAGCTGAGAGTAGAAGCTGTGAGAGAGGTTCCTCATCCCGTCCTCCTTGTATTTACTCTGAACAGAGGGACATGAAGCTCATTCAGGAACAAGGAACACACCCTCATGTGTACCCGGTGTGTGTAAACACTCGTGTGGATTATAACCTCGCTCTGCAGGTCGGACATCTTGGCGGCAAGCTGCGTCTCGGCCGTCTGCGGCAGCTGAGCGTAGAGACTGGACGACATGGACGTCTTCCCGCTCTGCTTGTACTTGTTCTGAAGGAAACAAGGATCTCAGCTTACTTTACTGTGGGTTTAGTTCAGCTCCATCTAAACCAGCCCCAGCTCCTGGAACAGACTAAATATGTTGATTAAGAGTCTACAATGAGCCAGTGAAGAAGTGAATGAGTGAGTGAGTAGTGAACATTCATGAACCGTTAGAGGAGAGACTGACCCATGTTCCCATGATTACAGACTCTCAGTGCTCAGCCTCCAGCTCGCTGTTTGTCTGAGTTACATAACGCTCTCTTCTACGAGAGCTACAAACAGCATCACAAACACGCTCGGCCTTCAGCCAAGTGTCTCAGAGTGAAGCGTATTATTCTTTCATTAGCTCGTTTGAAGAGCGACGTTCCCTCCGGAGAAATGCAGCGGGTTTGTGGACGACGCGTCAGGCCGTCGATCGCACTGAGCATGTGCAGGAGGGCGTGTGAATGATGGATTCTGTGCGTACCTCGCTCTGCAGCTCGGTAGCCTCTTTAGCATGCTGCGTCTCCAGCGTCTCGGGCAGCTGCTGGTACAGAGAGCTGCTGGCTTCCTTCTTTCCTGCCTCCTTGTACTTGACCTGCAGAGAGAAACGGGGTCAAAGAAACACGACATCACGAGAGACAGAACACGTAAATGCATGCATACGACCACTTTTGTACTCTGTAAAGCTTTCATAAGCCTTGAGAAGAACGTTAATATTGTGTGATATTAAAAGCTGAGTTGATGCAGAGAGAAGAAAGGCTCTGAGTGTGTGGAGATGAAGAGTAACAGGTATCCAGCAGCCATGAATGTGCTTCTGATAACACGACCAGAATAGACAGCGGTGGTCAGTTTATCTGCAGCGCGTTAACACGGTGGAGTGTCTGAGACGGAGCTCACACACGTAGGTCAGTCTCTGAGGACGTTGAACTGACGCACACATTCTCTGAAGACTAGTCAACAACAACAAAGAATAGAAGTGTTTCCCACCTCGCTGTGAGTCTCATTCATCTCTTTCACAAACTGAGTGTGCAGAGTTTCAGGCAGCAGAGAGAACAACGTGTTGGACAGATCCTCTTTGTCCTTCTTGTACTTAGTCTGCAGACAAAAGAAAAGAAAAGAAAGACAAAAGAAAAGGTGGATTAACATCATTAAATGCTCCAGTTCTTCCTTTGTTTCCTCTGTGTTCTTATGGTGCTTTGTCTAAGAGAACAATATGAAACAATATACTTCTTATTGTCTGAAGATACTGTATATTCAGGATAAAATGCAGAGCATCTGTACGAGGCGTTCAGGGTCCTCACCTCGCTCTGTATCTCTGACATCTGCTTGGCAAACTGTGTCTCTGCGGTCTCGGGAAGGAGCGAGTACAGGCTCTTACCGACCTCCTTCTTCCCTTCTTCTTTGTACTTCACCTGAGAACGAAGCACACGGAGCTCAGCCTCCCGGCAGAGACGCTTTTTAAAACTTGTGTCGGTCTCTCGGGGGGCTCCTCACCTCGCTGTACATGTCTCTCTGCTCTTTGGCCAGCTGTGTCTCTGTGGTTTCAGGGAGCTGGTGATACAGAGAGCCGCTCGCCTCCTTCCTACCGTCCTGCTTATACTTCACCTGCACGGAGACGGAAGGAAACCGAGAGAAGTAAAGGGAGAGTTTGGAGTTGTACGAGGTACTTATCTTCATCAGCCGTAGGAGATGGAGCACCAGCTCTGCCATCAAACATCCCTTTTCTGTCAGCTATGCTCTCTACAAAGACACCAGACTCCTTTGACCAGGAGCTGCTGGTTCTACTGCTGCCTCAGTCGGTTAGTACTTTGTTTTTGTCAACGGAGTCTGGTGGTAGATAACAGCTTCAGCGTTTTATGTCTGTTCCCCCAGTGAGACCCGGATCATCTGTTCACACCTGACTCTGCAGCTGAGAAGCTTCTTTAGCGTGCAGAGTGTCCAGAGTCTCAGGCAGCATGGAGTACAGCGAGCCGGACGCGTCTCTCCTCCCGGCTTCTTTATACCTGCTCTAGAGGACAAGAGAAGAACAGCAGTCTGTGACCTGTTTCCATGTCGTCTGAGGTCAGTATCGTGATGTTATTAGAGGAAGTAATATCTCTCCGTACCTCACTCTGTATCTCACAAACAGATTTGGCAAACTGGATGTCGTTGGTCTCTGGGAGCTGAGAGTAAACGCTGGAGCTCTGGCTCTTCTTCCCGCTCTGCTTATATTTGTTCTAGAGACGACAAGTTCAGGAGGACGTTCATCAAACAACACAACGGCTTCTACTGGTGAGGTCAGTGTGTGTGTGTGTGTGTGTGTGTGTGCGTGTGTGACAGAGTCTGTGTGTGTGTGTGTGTGTGTGACAGAGTCTGTGTGTGTGTGTGTGTGAGTGCGTGCGTGCGTGCGTGCGTGTGTGTGTGTGTGCTGTACCTCGCTCTGTATCTCAGTCATCTCTCGGGCGAACAGAGTCTCTGAGGTTTCAGGAAGCTGAGAGTACAGAGACGACGTCATCTCCTTCCTCCCCTCGTCTTTGTACTTTTTCTGTCGGAAAAACAACAAAGAATCAAAAACAACAACAACACTGAATGAGATCCAGCTCCAGTGAAACCAGTCTTAGTTTGTAACCCAACCAGGTCATGATTTAAAGGGCCGGTTCACACAAATGCTGTGGCACACGTACGCCTGTTGTGTCTCATGCGTTTCATATTTAATATTTTGTGATTTGTGAGTAACAGCTATGATTAACTTCACAAAAACTAAAACAAATAAAATGAAGAGAAAACAATGATTTGACTTCAATATACCGAGCAAGATAAAATACATGCACGCAGTTCTCAGGGTTCCTGCTCTTCTTATTAAATCTTAACCTTTCCAACAACACATTCATCTCTCATCCAACTCTCTTATCCAGATGTCAAATCAGTAGAACACGGTTTCCTGCTGAAGAATGAGCTTTTAATAGAAAAACTAAACATTACAGTCTCCTGATTGGGATCACAGCTAAACTGTAAAGATAAATATTTAATGTGAGACGAAGGTAAAGACGCCTCTGTGTTATTAATTCATTCATTAAACTCACTCTTTATCTTTATCTATAGCTGTCCTGTTGCGTATTGATCTGATGCAGTAAACATAGAGTTCAGATGAAGGAGGAGAGACACTCACTGCGCTCTGTAGTTCACTCGCTTCTCTGGCGTGTTTGGTCTCCAGAGTTTCGGGCAGTTTGGAGTAAAGAGAAGACGCCGTCTGCTGCTTCCCAGCCTGCTTGTACTTCACCTGACGCACACACACACACACACACACACACACACACACACACACACACACACACACAGTATTAAACCAACCACGCAGTCGTCCTTCAATCCGTTCTTGTACCACCAACATCTAAAAATGTACAATCTCCTTCAGACCAACTCTTATCAGACGTGCATCCTGATTGGTCGCTCATTGGCCAACATTCTGTGACATCATCAGCTGTCCACCAATAGGACTTCAGCTTGCCGCCCCTGTTTGACCCGAAACTTTAACAGCTTAAGACACAATAAGTGCAAGATGTTCATATTGAAACTATTATTTCATCCTTGTTTGAATATGAACATCTCGCATATATTGTGTCTTAAACTGTTAAAGTTTAGGGTCAAACAGTTATATGTATATTTTATATTTATATGTTATATTTGAGGATGAATGCAGATTCAGAATCAAGAAGAATGATCAGGTTCCCACCTCGCTGTGAGTCTCATTCATCTCCTTCACAAACTGAGTGTGCAGAGTTTCAGGCAGCAGAGAGAACAACGTGTTGGACAGATCCTCTTTGTCCTTCTTGTACTTAGTCTGCAGACATAAAAGATGTATAAAAACACAGATATACACATCAAAGATGTATAAAAAC